AACATAATTGTATAAAAACATCTCTTATTTTACATAGGCCACTTGCAGCTTCTTGAATGCCCACTGGGGGGCAGTGCTATATCAATGCTGCTGCTATCAGTTCAGAAACAAGCGCTCATAGCCTGTTTTTCTGTTTTCAGCTGTTTGATTTGATGTCTTATCACTTCCCACGACATCAAATATGTTTGAATTACCTATTTTTAGGTAAATGGGGCATCACATATCATCAGCACAATCTGAGGTCACTGCAAAGAGACTGCTTGCTTCTAGTGATAGATTTCATCAGTGATAGTGCTGAGTGCCAGAGAACTGGCCTGTATACTCGTGATAATATATGATATTTCGATCTCTCATTTCTTTATATTTTCTATTTGGGAAATAGGCAACGGAATGTATTGAAAAGTACAAACATGCATGGAACTACAATATGCAAGGCAAAAACAGTGTTTGTACGAGTCAATATTTAGTATGACCTTTATTCTTCAACACAGCCTGAACTGGTCATTTCTTTAAGTCGTCTTCAGGAATAGTTCTCCGGACTTCTTCGGATGTTTGCCGTGTTTTTTTTCTGTTCTCTGTCAAGATTTTTCAATAATTCTGAGGTTCTGGGAATGCCAGTCCAGGACTGAGTTCAATTGTGAGTTTTTCTATCCAGGTATCCTTTTATTGTATTGGCATTGTTTGGGATCACTGTCACGCTGAAGAATTAGGCTGTTGCCTATCAGATGCTTTCCAAATGGTATTACATGGTGGATCCCAAGACCAATTTACAAAGTCCTTGGAGGCTCAAGATATTTGCATAGCATATCCTCCTAGGAAAAAATATTACTAGGTCCTGGAAAGAGTTATAATTGTAGGCTTACAATAAGTCTTTGAGGGTTTTTTTTTCTTTTTTTGAATGTGTTTAAGTTTTAATTTGTGCATACTGAGGAAAGCTGTGACGTGGTTTTAAGATGAATAACTACCAGCACAAAGTGCATACCTGTACGTAAGTGACGGGATCCTTGGATCACAGCGGCCTCTAGTGGAAGACCTGCACAAGTGCACCATGTCTGAAGCGTCACAAGTCATCAATGAGCAGGAAAAGTGGGTTAAACAGTTTTATTGAATCGATTTTTGCTGTTCAGAACTGTTTGTCATCTCTGGCTGACTTTAACAATGTGTAAAGAAAGAAAACTAATAAAGAGGGGCGCAGGGGATGAAAAAAAAACTATCAACATGATTTTTAAAAAATCATTAAGATTGTTGGCTTATGCACAACTTCCCACCCTCCCCAATGGAAAAAACAATTTCACCCTTGCCAAATGCTACAATACTGTATCAAATAGGGGCGATTTAAAATGTAAAAACATGAAGGGACTAACTGCTACTTAAAAAAGCTGAAGGATGAAGAATATTCACAAAGTTACATAAGGGGAGACACAAGAGAAGTAATAACATCACACCTGACTGCTTCAAGGAGGCAACAGTAAACTAGAGACATCAAAGTAGATTCTCACCAACCAGCCGCCGCTCCTTTAGTCAGATGTTACTAAAATTTCCCCAACTGTGGAACTCGGTTAAGGAAAAAAAAAAACAGAAAAAAGGGTGCAAAACATAATAACAAAAGTAATCTTGTTATGATTCAAAATAAGTGCAGTTACCCTGCTTTTAGATTTAAAAGACCAGGTTGGGTCAGGGGTCGGGTTTATAAAAATAAAAATAACAAGGACGAGGAAAGTATGGAGTCTTTTTTTTTTTCAAATCTTGTCTGCAAAATATAAATTACTAGTGCACACAAGGTAAATAACTCCTGCAGGAGATAAATAACTCTTGCACGAATTAAAATAACTCCTGCGGACATAATTAACTTGTGTGCACATGATAATATCCTCACACGGCACAGTAGGGGTTCTGTATTAATTCCTACTGATTGCGTGTGAACTTCTACCATAACACCAAGTCGTTATCCTTGTGCCGTATACAAAAAAATTCCCCCGATATGCACCCCTTGCATTGTGGCATATTCCAGGATAACATCACAACTGATATGACATCTAGCACCATTACAAAACCAAACAAATGAGAATTTTTAAAAAAAGGAAATATTCGTGGGTGACAAAAACAAAACAGAAAGAAGAAGAGTGCTTTAAACATATCAGAGGCTAACATATTCACACAGCTACAGCGAAATGATGAATAATAAACTCCAGGGATTTTTTAAATTAAATTAAAAAAACGAAACAAAAACACAAAAAGTTAGTTAAGAAAGGGGAGAGATGACAAAATAAAGCGTCGCTACAGAGTAAAATCGCGGTATAGTGTTTTAAATATTGGCAGAAAAACAAAACAAAACAACCGAGGGGACAAGCTAGCTGTGATTTACACGGCTGAGAAGCTAAAATTAAAGGTGAAGTCAAATTTGGGATGCGAGGGGGGGAGAGCTGTGAGTTGGTTTCCAGTCTGCATACAAGACAAATTGTGCAAAATAAAGTTCATTTATTCATTTTTGTTTATTTTTTTGCCGGCATCTGATTAGGTCTGTGCACAAGTGTTGTTTTTCCTGAGAGGTAACGGTTGCATGAGCCTCGTTTTGAGATGAAAGTTTTTTTCCTATTTGATGCATTTTTTTAAAAATCGTTTTTTTTACTTGGACTCAAAGAAAGAAAAAAGAAAACAGGAAGCACGAGGCAGGCGGCTGGAAATCTGCTTTAAAACTGTCAAGTATTTGCCTCTTTCAACTTTTAAAGTCACCTTACAGGTATCTCTCGCTTATATATATATATATGTATGTATGTATGCATGTATGTATGTATATTTGCTGTTTTGCAAAGCTTATGTACACTGAGTATACTCAGGCCCAAGCGCTCCCTACATGCCATGCCAATGCAAATATTAGTGTTCCTTTGGTTATGTAAAAAAAAGAAAAGAAAGAAATCTACATGCATCTTATTCTTTACAAAAATAAAAGTATAGAAAATTACAGTTAAAAATGATCTGAGAATGCTTCTTCCAATGTGTAAAAAAACATCACTTGTCATTAGTAATATATTCATACGTATTAATATCTGATTTCCATCTAAACTGTATATTAAAACTATCATCAAATATATTCTTTTTTTGTACTTCTCACACAGTGAATTAATTTTTCTTTTCCAACGTTAGTACTGAATAATAAAAGAAAACGTCTAACAATATATCGGGAAAATGTTAAATAGCAAAAACAAACCCTTGAGGGAGGGACTTTTTTTTTCTTTCTCAAATTTCCTTCAAAAGATAGGTCTGCATAGCATCGTGTACCTGCGCAATTTGTACATTTACAGGATCATAAACCCTCTTCTTTTGAGATGGTACAACCTAATGTGGATGCATCTTTTAGTGTGGGGTCCCTGTGTTGCAGGAAACCTAAGTGCTTTGAAAATGCACAGGCTCGAGGGAAATAAAGGAAGAAGAAGAAGAAGGAGTCAGGTTGGACAGTGGAGGCATGTCAGCTGTCTAGGACAATGTAATACTTGGCCAACCAATCACTCGTTAGCGTATGGATTTACCCTTGAATGCCCCGTGTGTAAATTCACAAATCCCATTTCTTCATTTTGTTAGTTCAACTGCACATCAGAGATTAAAAAAACAAAACAAAACACCCTCTATCTGACATCTACCTTAACACAATGGATTGAAGTAAAAAAAAAAATGCCAAACTGCAAGTACATACCCTCTCAACTCTTTTCTCTAAAATCATGAATTTAAAATCGTACATTTAATCAGGGCAAGATGTGCAACCACATGTTTCATGCCTCCGGCCGTCCCATCTTTATCTTCCACCTGTTCACAACAGTCCTCTCGCTCGCTTTATCTGTATCGAGGTCGGTGCAGCAGGGCAAGTGTACCTCATTCAGACGAGCATTTGGTCTGGCAAGTCACGCCGAGCGGGAAAACTGGCCATTTCTCCAAAAATCAAAACAAAACAAACAACAACAACAAAAAAACAGTCCATCAAGTCTCTCAAACCAGCGCCTTTGAGATCCGGAGTACCATATCCGCCCTAAAGCTTTTGTCGTGTAACATAACTAAAGTGGAAACTCATTCCAGCCAGAGGGAGGGAGGGAGGAGGGGTGGGGACGGGGAAATAGGTGATTTGTCTTGTCAATCTAAAAAAACCAAACAAAACCAAACCAAAAACCATCAAGTCACACATTTTTAAAAAAATCAGTTTGCAGTGAAAAAACAAACAAACAAAAAAACAAACAACAACAACAAAAATGGCTAGCAGCCCAATCGTCCGAGTGTTATTTAAAAACCCCCAAAACAAAACAAAATAAACAGAAAGTTGTGCATAGTAGGCTGAATCTCCTCCGCGTCCTCTGCATGTCTTGGCACGTGATATGAGTGAGGTCTTCGTTTGTAAAAGTCCAAGAGAAACGGCGCGCTTTGAAGACAAGCATCTTCGGCCAGCAGGGAGGAGGGATCAACCGGTGGTTGCGTGATGTTATCTTGATAGGAGATTAGTTTCCTGCAAAGACGATAGAGAGGATCATTCACCTCGCTGTCGCTTAAAAAGGCCGTTTGAGAAGATCTGTTAGCCATATCTGCATGCAATGCTGTGAGTAATGAGCAGATCTTTGTGAAAAAAACTAAAAGGGGTGGAAATATTCAATCTACAGTGACAGAAAAAAACAGAATAAAGATAAAAACGCTTTAGATTAGAAAGTCGGAAAATACTGAAAATATTAAGTTTTTTTCATTTAATATAATATTGATTTTTTTTAAGGAACAGTTGATCACCGATGGTCATTTTCACTAAATCCTAAATTAAAATGCTAAATATTCTCTAGATTTGCTGCTTTTCTTTACTTCGCACCACCGTGAATTGAATATATTTAAGTTTTCAACAGCTAAAGACAATTTTTTAAAAATTCTTTAGACTAGTAAATAGTTCGTGTCTCTGACAGTGGTTGGTGTACCTGGCTAACACCGTGTGGTCAGGTGAGTGATTAGCTGGGCACCCAGTTGTGAGCGGAGCCCTGCGTGGTGGTCGGTCCCGGGTAGCCTTGGCCTCCAGGCAGCATGGGGTCGAAGTTGAAATCGAGGCCGTCTCCGTCCATGAGGTCACTGTTGATTATGTAGTCCACATCGCAATCCAGGTTTTCGGTGAACATGTCAATGTCCAAGTCCGTAGGGAGCCGACCCGGACCGGTGGGGAAGCAGGACGGCACTCCAAACTGACTGATCCCCGGCAGGGTGGTGATGGGCCCCCCGTGTTGCGAGCCAACGGCTGGTAGCGCGGCGTGTTGGGCTTTGAGGGCAGAGAGCTGTGACGGGTCCTGAGACAGACCTGAGAGGATCATCCCCAACTCCATCTGAGAGTGATGCTGGTGTTGTTGCTGCTGCTGCTGCGCCGGTGGTGGTGGCTGCTGCTGCTGCTGGTGGTGAAGGTGATGCTGCTGAGGCTGCATCTGAGCCTGCAGCCCGATGGGGGACACGGTGTTCGGCTCCAACCCCTTAGCCAACCTTACTCCTGCAACAGACGTGCCCAAACCTATCATTCCCACCCCTCCAGAATTCGGCATGATGGAATCCACTTGGGCCATCAGGACATCGCTGGGAGGAGGGGAGTCGGAGGTGAGCAGCGCTTCCAAGCTGGAGGGTACGTGGGCGCTGTAATGGCCGCTCCCACGGGAGCTGGGGGTGGGCATTGGGTTGAAGAGGGAGTTGCTGAACGTCGTCTGCTCTTTGCTGCCGGGCCCGCAGGGAGACACGGAGGTTGTGGCCCTGGTGTGGGTAGGGGCCTGTGGGAGGCTGGATGAAAGCTGATGGAAGGAGGGGAAGCTGGAGCCTCGAGGCAGCAGGGTGGAGGCGGAGGGCAGCGGAGTGGGAGGTGCTGGTGGGGCTGTGCTGGGACTGGCCCCTCCCTGCTGTCCAGTCATCAGAGTGAGGCCATCGATCAGGTCCAGCTCCTCCATGAGCGTCTCGGTGAGGGTGGGAGTCAAGTTGCTGGCAGAGAACCGCCCCAGCAGGCCGTCATCAGGCAGGTTGTCGTCATCCTCCTGGCCCGGAGCAATGGGGGACAGACGTCCGCTCAGGGTGCTGGCGTTAGAGCTCGTGCGCGGGCGGAAGGTGGTCCACATATCCGTGTCGTCCAGGCTGCCGCGGGATGAGGGGCTGCTGCTGTTCACCCCCCATTTGGAGAACTGCTGGGATGAGTTAGGGCTGTCCGCGCCCGCCGAGCCCGTGGCACCATCGCCCTGCAACACACCTGCGGTGCCTCCCAGGCCGGCCGCTCCCGCCTGCTTCTTGGTCTGCTTGGCCCTCATGCGGCTCTTCAGCAGCTTACTGCTGTTGTCCATAGATGCAGCCCGGCGACGCGGCGCCTTGCCGGTCTTGCCTCCTTCGGGGTTGAGCATCCACCAAGAGCTCTTTCCGGTCGATTCATTGTGTACCCTCAGGAACTTGTTGTGGAGTGACAAATTGTGGCGAATTGAATTCTGAAAATCAAAAGGTAAAAAAAACAACAAAAAAAAACAAACACAAAACACAACAATGAAGAGAGAGTCATGAATTGAAACTCACAGGAATCCAGCAACAGAAAAGATGCTGACTGAATGAAAACTTTCAGGATTAAAAAGCATTTTAAACCTTATTTTGGAGCAAACTTTTCTACTTTTTTTGTGTTTTTTAACAGATTTGACTTTTTATTCCGTGAATGCATTTTTACATCCAAGTAGCCACTGAAATTAAAGTTTATTTATTAAATAATGCTTTACAATAACTCCCCAAAGGTATTTCAAGTTGGTTGCAGAGTGGTGAAACTTGCTTTTATTACACTGGTGATTTGCAGATTAATCACTTATCTTTAAATGAGAATAATAAAACTAAAGTATGGCTACTATGGATATAATCTTTAGTAAAGGATTTTCAAAATAGTTTTTGTCTCATCTTGGATGACACAAAATGTATTTATTATCTTTGAAAAGGGTTTATACCAAAACAGACGATCGTAGACGGTAATAAGCCCGAGCAATTACAACTTTGTTTCGAAGGGTTCACACCAACGCTTGCTGGGAACCACCCGTCTGCTAACAGTACAAAAATGTATCTCAAAATTCCCTTCAGAGCTAATCATTTATTCTACAAGAGTTAAAAAAGGTGCCATTAGTTATCCAGAGTTATTATATTTCAGAATTTTTTTAAATTTTGTTTTCCATTCGTTTTTTAATGCTCAACATTTTTTGCTTTTTTCATGTTGTTTTCACACATGAAATCAGTTTATTCTCATTATAATCCGTTTTTGAGTTTTTAAACTTGTAGCTTTTTCAGGTGGTTTGGCTTATTTTCACAAAAATAAAACTCCAAATGAACTAAAAGAAAAAAATAATTTAAAAAACCGCATCACTTCAAATCATGTGACCAATTAATGGACTCCCCCAGAAACATCCAAGTATTGGTCAGATTTGTCTGGGCCAGGAGCAACAAAAAGAGCGAACAGTAAGGTTTTCTTGACTAGTGGATAAGACGGAGAATTTACATTAATTTTACAGTAAAGTAAAGTACTCTGCAGAATGCTACAGGAAGCTGTTTAGCTTATACTTGCACCTGCTAGTTGTGTCAGATCGGGATCAGATCATAAACAAAATGCTCTGGAGTTCATTTGTAATCGGACTAAGATCACCTCATCCAGAGGGTCTCGGTGTGGCTGTTTTCGATTACAGGGTCCACATCAGTACAAATGAGTGTGGCCTCAGCTTTAGTTTTATTGAGGAGGTATCTGTCTCCTCCTAGCATAACAATATCAGAAGAGGTATTAAAATACAAACTCAACATGCTGTTTAGGCAGCCGGCGTGACGCAGACACCACAAGTATGAATAAACATCTGCACCAAAGCCTCCTGGTGCTTCTTGTAGCTTGACAAAACTGTCAAAAGTGTAAAAATGAAGATGTTTCCAGTGCTTTTTATTTAACTTGGACTGCTTCTTATTGATCGCTTTTTTACTCGAGCACTCAAAGCATGTACACAACATGCCTCACTCACACCAGCACTTCTTTTTCTACCTGGGTGCCTTCTATCTAACATTCAGACTGTTCAGTATCTTGCCCAAGGATAACCAGAAGGTTGGTGGATCGATCCCTGGCTGCTCCAGTCTCCATCCCAAACATCCATCAGAGTGTGACTGTTAGATAGAAAGCACTTAAGCATTTGGGGGGTGTTTGTGTAAATGAGGCATGTTGTATGAAGCGCTCCCAGTCCTCAGGTAGAGTAGAAAAGCATCTTTTTTCACCCAGTGACAGTCAACAACCAATGCCAACCACCTAGCAACTAGTAGCTGTATCACCTCCAAAATGTTTAAAACTTTTAACAATGTGCACGAGGTCACGTGATTAACCTCAGTACTGCCTGTAAATGCCATCCAGGGGTTTTCCTGCCCACTAAAAGGAAAATAAGCAGAACTGTGATTAATAATATGTTTAACCACTTTTCCCAAAGCTTATTTACTTTATGTTAAGTATTTTAGTTTATTTTTAAAACTAGGACAACCAGAATGGCTAGCCTATGCACAAACTTGGGTTAAATAAGGAAACACACACACACTCTGCCTTAACTCTTAATGCAGCTCTGTGGTGTGCCAGGAAAAACTCCTACTGACACATTTACCTGGTGGACCTAAGTGTTTATTTTATTACAGTTCAGCTTAACTCTTAAAACTAAAAGGCCCATAAACATAAAGATAACCTTGGCTGTGTACTGACTCAGATGATTCCCTGCAGATGAAGCCCTCACCTTCCAGCCAGCGGAGCTGTTGCTGTCTCCTTTGTCTCTGAAGTAAGGCACAGTTTTCACCATCCACTCATATATCTGCGCTAGCGTCAGCCTCTTCTCGGGTGAGTTCTCGATGGCCTGGCTGATCAGGTCCGCGTAGCTCTGGTTCCCCCACGCGTTGCGCCGGGAGGATCCTTTGCGCGGCGTCGCTCCGGTTCCGCCCACGCCGGCCACGACCCCGCCCTCCACGGACGCCGCAGCCGCTTTCTCGGGCTCGGACGCGATTTGCTGGGGCTCGGGCTTGTCCTCGTCAGCGGGCGGGGTCGTGGCGGCGGACTCGGCGCCGTCCGCCCCCTCCGACTTGACAGCCGTAATGTCGGGCCTCGGCAGCGGCCACGTGCAAGAGCGAGGTCTGCTCTGCGGCTCAAAATCTGGGTCAATCGGGGGCACTGGCGACTCCTCCATGGCGGTCCTCTGAACTTCCACTCAGAGAGGTGTTCAACTTAAAACATTTAAAGTTTGACAGGTAAGTTTGAGCCGATGACACCTTAAGAGAAAACAAACACACCACCTTTAAAATAAATAAACAAACAAACAAAAATAAACAAACAATATACTTCACCCTCCGCGGGGGTGTCAACCGAAGGGCCTAGAAAAGAGACGTAATAATCTGAACACGCCAATAGCCTCGGTTAATCCTCAGATTGGAGATTAGGGAACCCAAATAATCTCCTTAATAGTAACTATCATAAACCTTCAGATTTATATAGAAATAAGGAGGGCTGGGGCGGGACTCTCTTTGTTTGAATGAAATCTAAAAAGATAGTCGCACAATGACAATGAGCACCAAAACATCTGGACCTAGACGGGGTTTGGGGCCGCATCTGGAAATTATTATTATTATTAATCATAATAAAAATAATAATCATAAATAAGAAAAAATAGATATATATATATGAACATGTGTGGCTAAAAATAGAAATTGAAGCCAGTTAAAATCGCTTACATTGCTATATTTTACTTTCAAGGAGAGAGTGGTTTATATGCGGGTGGAGATTTTGTAATTATTGCGGATTAAATTTGTGAACTCACACGTGAAGTTTTCTTGTGAAACTATGCAGTATGCATGCGAGGATTAGCTGGCTGCGGTTACAAAGGAGCTTCTGGCTGTTCTTGTAAACAACCGGGCAGTCTGAGGTCTCCACAAGACCAGAAAAAGGGAGAGAAAACGACCAAAGTTTATTTATTTATTTTAAGTTCCGCAGACATCCACTAACCGGTGCGGCTTAGTCAGTCAAAGTGAAGATGTGCGGCGGCTGACTGTCCGAGCTGGCGGTCTGTTCAACACTGCCCCGGTACGCTGGCACACGTCTCTGTCTGTCTTCTGGTGGGAAAAACGAGCCTCCAGCGAGGATAAGATGTCAGTAAGGACGCTTCGGGGTTTGTTTATAACACTAGATGGATGACAGAAATGTGCAAAGAGAAGTCCGCGCCTCAGGTCTGCACGGTCCGCCACATTGCGGTCGGGCGCATGTCACCATCTGCCATGTTTCCCCACAGTCCTGCCGCGGCACACGATACTCGAAGAAGCGGGTTTTAAAAAGCCCACTCGACCGCAGCCCGGAACTCAGCCGACCCTCGTCTCGTTGTGTCGCTAACCAAGCCTCGCAGTTTCTCCGCAGGCGCTTGGGTGAAACTGGGGTCGCCCGCAGGTCTGTCGGCTCCCACTCGCCGCACTTTGAAAACAGCACCGATAGCCTCCGTAACGTTAGCCGCTTAAGCTCCTGCTACTCCAGAGTTTACAATCCGTGGAAAAGTCCGTGAAAAGCCTCCGATAACTTCATCCAAGTTGCCGTTTCTAGTCCGCGCTGACTTTTGTAAAACTTCCTGTTGTTGTGTCGGTACAAATATTCACTCCTTCGGGATCTTTTCGACTTGTTTTGTTTTGTTTTGACTCGAGGCGAAGACTCCCTTCTGACGTCTGTTTACCACTGTCAGGCAACGCACTCTGCGCCTGCGCACAATAGAATTCTGGGAAGGCGAGTCCTGTGTGTGGCAGACGGTTCCGACGTAAACAGCCGCGCTCGATGGCAACATGTACCTGTAGTGGAACATTATGTAACAGTTTATGAAAGTGTCCTAAGTACTCTTAGGCCATTTAAGGTATTACCGGTAATTAGAGACACGAGACAAGAAAAGACTGCAAAATTACATTATTTCCAGAAACAAACAAACAATAATTATAACCTTAAATTTTAATGTTTACTAGAGGTCCCTCTGAATACCTCCTCAAATTTCCAGTTTTTAATAATACATTTAGTAAACTTGTATTGATTCTGTTTTATTTAGCTTTGTTGAATTTGACTGTGCTTTATTACTTTATTACATGTGATATTACTTAATAATTTATTTTAACTTTAATGTAGTTATTTGTGATTTATTGTGATTTTCAGATTAGTTACATTTTACTGAGCTATATCCTAATTTAAGCTATTCGTTAATGCTATTTAAAAAACATCTTGTTTTATTACTTGGGAAACGAATAAATAAGATTTTATGGCATTTTATAAATAATTATATTAATTAGCAATATGTACACTCAGGAGGAGTAGAGACACCAATCTATTAGGTACTGCATCAGTTATGTGTAAAACTGTGCCAAATCAAATATGCAGTTCTACCCACTGTGGCTACTACAACTAAAAAACAATTTTGCATCCATAGGTAATTCAGAACCCACCTTAAGTGTGTTAAAAATCTAAATCTATCCATTTTCTTCCACTTATTCAATTCAGGTTGGGTTGGAGCCTATACCAGTTGCCACAGGGTGAGAGGTGGGGTACACCCTGGACAGATTGCCAGTGTATCACAGGACTAACACATAGAGACAGAGAACCATTTACATTTACATTAACACAGACACGTGAAGAACGTGCAGTCTCCACACAGACAAGGCCCCAGACTGGATTTGAACTTTAAATATGAAATCGAAATGGATGAAGAGCGACATAGTCTTCATTATAGGCCTCAGGCCAGAGTTAAATGCAAGGATTTGGGTTGGAATATCCAGTTTGGCACAGGCCATGCCACCACTGAAGGTCTGTGGTTCAATAACTTGTTCTTTCAGTTCACATGTTGGAGTGTCCTTGGGCAAGATGTCGCACCTGATGCAAGCACCGAAGAGTGAGATAAAAACATTATAACGTGTACCGAGTAAAGCTTTGTATGAATGTGAATGGCTGGATGTGGATACTAAATACCAGTCAATTAAAATTAAAACCTTGATATTCCTATTACCAAAAACATAGGTATATTCATTTATTTATTGGTTTATTTATATATCATGACAGAGTAATATATGTGGAACAATAGAGTAGTCTGTGTTATAAATGGAATGAAACAAGAGATATGAGAAGGGCACTTACATTAAACCTCATGAAAAACCTGCTCTATTTTCAACTTAAACTTTAAGACTTTTTGTGAATTGAAAATGTGATTATTGCTTTTAAGTTTCCACTCAGGCACAGTGTATCTCTGTATGTATTCTGTAAGTTATATGTTCAGTTATTTAAAACATTAAAAAAAATGCTTGGGCCAACCTAGTTTTTAGGTCTTGGATGATCCAGGTATGCTACAGGTGTGTGTCTTAACCACCGGATACCCGATGCTCCGTGTGAAGCTAATGCATACTCAGTAACCTAGGCTCATAGCTGTTAATCCAGCTTTCTTTTACTAGATTTATGCTAGACTTTAGTCACAGAAGTCTCCTCTCTCACAAGCCAGAGTACTCCCTGTGCTGCCCGGATAAATGGGAGGGTTGTGTTAGGAGGGGTATGCAGTCTAAAATCTGTGGCACATCAAACACGTGAAGACCCCTGGGGAAATAATGGAGCTCCACAGAACTGTACAGAGGACATGTGGCATCTTTATAGAGGAAAGGGACCGAGTTGTTCTTCATGCTTTGCTATGGCTTTCACTGGGACAAGACCTCAACCCCAATAAACACAAAGAGGAGATTTTTGGATCCAAATCAAAAAATCAGGAAATATCTTTTAAAGAATGGTGTTGCATCTCTTCAGGAGACCTCCAGAGACACTTTATAGGGTTTTTTCCTTTAGTCTGTCACCCGTCTGACTCATGAAGCAACGACACATAATCGAATACAGAAGCATTTTTTTTAAGAAGACTCAACTCTCAGATGGTGTTTTCTGTGTTTTGGTCTTTGTGTGGTGGGAGCTTAATGAGCAGTGAAAAACTTGTAAATTAGGAAGTGAGAAAAGGCTTAGCTTACTCCACCATTGTTTATTAAAGGCAGGTACATTAGCCCGTCTGATCTCTCTTTGAATGGTTCGTGCTTTCACCTCCACATACCTTTTTTTGTGGTAATCCTTTTTCATTTTGAATACTCGTGTGGCTTCCTGCTCATTGTGATGAAAAGTAACACACCCCACCGATACTGCGCTTAATCTCCATCTTTAATGTTTGTCTTTAAATCCTGCACCCTTCCTCATTAGCTGAGTCATAATTCAGAGGAGGTAGGTAAAAGGCTTCCTGTGTAAAATGCTTCAGTGGCACCAAGTGTCTGACTGCCAGGTGCAGACAAAGTTTGTCTGCCGCTCTGCTATGACTAATGCTCTGTAAATGTACATGCTCAACATGTGCAATCAACATGTCGATTAGCTCTGTCTGTGTGTGGCTGTGCACCCTTTAACCCCAAAAGCAGACTCGGTGTGAGCGTTTGTGGTGTTTTAATTCACATTAAACACATTTTTGTAATTCAGTTTTTTGAAGTTAAGGCTTCAACAGGGGCTTACAACAAAAAAGGTGAATGTAGCACACAGGCCATGAGTCTGCACAGGAAAGGGGTCAGAAAAAGCTCCTCTATATCACTGGCTTATTTTATCCCATCTCATTTAATTACTTGGTCCACTGCCATGTTCAGTATTGTGCAAGCCTAAAATTTGATAACCTGGTTCAGCGGGAAGTTTCACAGTCTATTAAAAGCTCCAAGTGTATTTTGTATGAACACTCTTCCTCAGCTGTCATCTGGTAATTCTACTGCAGTCCATTTATATGAGTTTACCTGATAACACTATATGGAGCGGCAAATAAAACATCGGTGATAAAACCTGTGAAAGTTTACTGCCCTTAATTTCTTTCCGGGGAATTCTCATAAAACAGATAAAACATTCACTGTACCAACGCTTATTTTCTATTACTCTGTCACTGATGTTAAATTAGTGCAGCTTTGCTAAGGAAACTGTGATTATATCTCAACGCCTTGATTCATACCATTCAAGTGGCCCTTAACAACTTGCATGAGGGTGGGTCAATAAACCTCAGGACCACTTTGAACGAGACAGCCCCGTGGTGGCAGAAATCTCTTGAATGAGAAGTGAAAAACATGCATACCATCATTACTCAGTGATCTCCTGATGGTGGACTTGTGAACAATGGCATTACTCAGTGCGATAGAGGCCTTTGGTTACTGGAATCCTGCGTTTCCTTTTTACATCAAGGACTTTTACAACCTTCAGCTACTCCTGTGTGACAGTGACAATGATGTGGATTAGTTGTGATGATCAGACCGATCAACACACCTGATTCTAAATTCACCTTCAAGTTGGCTGTTCATCCTAGAAGTTCGCGAACTTTTGTTTATATTGGATCATTTCATACCAAAGCTTTCATCCATTTGTCTAACTTTATGACTTAAACATTTCAAAATATTTTGGGTCATATTTATGCATAGATATGAAAATAATGCATTTAACTGTATTTAACCTTTAACCATCAAAAATGAATAAACTTACTTTTACTTACTTAGACTTAGTTCCTCCTGTGCCGGATGGCACATTAGGCGGCAAGGGATCGCCAACGAGCTCGGTTTGCAGCCACATCTTCAGCCTCGTCCCATGAAAGATCGACCGCTTTTAGGTCCTCAATGAATGACTGTCTCCATGTCTGTTTTGATCTCGATACGAAATCTTGAAAATCCGTCGGAGGCTGCGCTGTTGGAAAACATTCAGTCATCGGGTGATTGTTGCCGTCGACTTCCATGTTTCACTCGCATAGATAGCCATTGTTACGACTATTGTATTGAACAAATGGACTTTGGATGATATCGAGATGGTGGTCGATCTCCAAACCAGATTCAAGTTGCGCATGGCCAATGCTGCCTTTCCAAGCCAACAGGCGATGTGCTTGTCCAAGCCACCGTCCAGTGTTATAACACTGACCAGATTGGACCAACGTTAACTGGAAGGTCATCCACGGGGCGGAAGGCGTGTTGTCGACATAGGTGCCGGTTGATTCAGGATTTCCTCGAAATGCTGGACCCATCGTTGGTCTTGTTCCTCCGCTGTTGTTAAGAAGCGGCCGTCCTTGCGCTTGACTGGTACTCCTCTGCCGCTTGGAGCACCGCTCAATTCCTGAACGATTCGATAAAGCGTTTTGGTATCATTCTTGTTTGCTGCCTCTTGCGCTTCTTGTCCTTTCCATCCGATCCAATCCCGTTTGTCCCATCTGCAACTCCGTGTGACGATTTGATCTATCAGCCAATAACGCATGTCCACTGCATCCAAGAGTTGTCCTGGTGGCTCTCGTTCGCATACTTGCTTTACCTTGTTCCGCTCATCAATAAGGTCCCCCGTCCAATCAATACTGGCTGGCCATTTCTGGATCCCTGAGACGAGTGACATCGAAAGGCTTGGGGCACTGACCGTTGGACACTGTTCTCATGAGCCAGAGTCGACGCTTGGTGATGAGTGTCCGCGCCCCGCCAACATCGCACGTCGAGTAACGATGACCGCAATAGTCTCCGTACACAAACGAAATTGGTTTTGTTTTCGTATGTTCCTCCCGGAGCCCGCCACGTCATCTTGTGTGCTCTCTTGTGTTGGAAAAAGGTATTCCCAAAGCAAAGGTCGTTCGTGGCGCAAAATGAACAGAGCCGGTCGCCGTTATCAGTCGTGCATGCCACCAATCCATGGGGCCTGATGGTCGATTCAAATCCAGCCCGGTCCCCGTCC